ACAATCAAGATGAAAGAATCTTTCGACTGCTCCAGACGTTCTCCACGTGCACCTTCTAGATAATCATTGCTGTGATTAGTTTTGCCTGTGAACTTCACCACAGGCTGATCATGCGGGGCAAAAGGAAAATAATGTCTTCATTACATTATGAAAGTAGCTTTACCATCAAGGACTTCATGTTGTTTTAAGCCAGTAAGTTTGTGGTGATTTGTTACAACAGCAACACGAAACTAGTAAGAGCAGTTATTTCTGAGTGATGGAATATGGTATTTATTATCTTCATTAGAACTTCCTGTATTTCCATATTTTATACAAAATAGGTATGTTATATTCAAAGAGTTTGTTTAAGTTAAAAAAAATTTAGAAGAAAAGACTTTCTAATGCCCCAGCCAGCTCAAGTCCAGGTGCACTTGTGCACTTTGGAATTTGAGAATTGCCTCTGGCTATGGGGGCAGAGGGGACATTCCATTTCTAGGCAGGGCCTCACTGAGTTGTTTCAAGCCGTCATTTATTAAACAGCTGCTGTGTGTGAGGTGCCTTATATACGTATTCTTATTCATAGTGGTTTCTTCTGCTACAGATACTGTTATTCCCAATTACAGATGAAGAAACCAAGAAAATTCACAATGTCACGTACTTAATTTGCAGTTACTTAGTGGTGAAACAGGGATTCAAACTCTGGTCCCTTTGATCTGGGGACCTGCACAGAACCTGGAACAGGTGTGATTAATTGAGTGTGCCAGAGGTGGCAGAGGTCTGAAGGGACAAGAGCCAAAAACCAGGCGCCAGAGCCTAGTCCCTCTGCTAATTCACTCAATTCATTCATTCATTCGTTCATTGATCTTGCACTTACTGTGTGCTGGGCACTGTTGTAGGAACTGGAGAATGAGGCGCTGAACACAAGGTAGAAACAAATCTGCCTCGTGGAGTTTGTATTCTTGTGGGATGTGGATGACAAACAAAATAAACTCCACTTCTTTAGATATTTTGTAAGGGAGTCTCATAAGATGTCCATGGTGGGGGCTGGGGGGAGGTCAAGTGTTGCAGGGAGAGCAGGGGATTTGAAGTCCGGATTCCGGGATTTGAAGTCCGGATTCCTCGATTTGCATGCTGGCTCTCCCAGTTCCTGGCTGTGAGACTCTGGGGAAATGGCTTAACCTCTCTCAGCCTCAGTTTCTTCAGGTGTAAAATGGGAAGAATAATCCTCATCCACCTAGGTCTTTGGGACAAATATGAGGTCATATATGTAAAACCCAAAGTAATAAAACCAGGAAGCTATTAGGGTTGATGCTGGGGTCTGAAGGCTACCCTAGTTCTCACAGTGTCTGATTCTGTGAAGAGATGCTGGCGCTCTGAGTCACAGATGATGGAGTTGCTTCCAGGGAACCCATTTATGGGGCTTTGTTCAGCCATCTGACAGGACTCCCTTTTCACACTCCCAGTACAAGTGGTCCTTTCCACTTGAAACAGACCATCTTGTCTTCTCATTTCTTGAAACCACATGCAGACCCTTGAGGTTGACAGGAACAAGAGAACGGGGGTGAGGAGAGCTCTGAGCTCAGAGGAGGAGCTGTGTGCAGCTGCAGGCTTAATCTCAATTAACAAAAGCCACCTGGGGACCTGGCTGGGCTGGGCAGGACCGGGGTGATTGGTTTGCAGGCTGAGGGTTGCCAGGGCTTTGTTCGAGGCCCCCAGGGAGGGGCTCACAGGAAGATTTTATTTGCTTTTCCTGGATGCCAGCCCTGTCAGGCAGCCTTCACTTTATACATGGCCTTTATCTGATGACTCTGTTCTCAGTAAGGCCAGGTCCATGGAGACTGGGGAGGTTGACATAATTCAGAATGTTCTTTAGCCTTAACACTGCTGCTCCCAGACTAGCAACCTTCCTTCCCTGAAACCCCTCAACATACACACCCCTCTTTGTACTTGGTCCCTTCTCAGTTTACATATTTATGTGCCATTGGACTAAAATCAGCCTCTCAGAGTTCATGATAATGTGGGACAGATCAGGGGCTTTGTTCCTGCTCATCACTGCAACCCCCTGGTACAAGTCTCTGGTACAATTAGGATCCCCAGATTGAGCAAATAAGAATATAAGATGTCCAGTTAAATGAGAAATTTGGCTAATGAGTAATTTTCAGTTAAAATATGTCCTGTGTGATACTTGACATATACTAAAAATCACTGGTTATTTTTCTGAAATTCACATCTTATTGTGCATCCTGTATTTTATCTGGTGACCCTAATTACAATTTGTTGATGATGCTCAGGATATGTATATGCAAATAAAGGAATGAATGGGGCTTACCCATAATCAAAATCAGAAACTAAGTGCAGACATTTTACCAGAAAATACACACTGTTAGGAGTGGTTGTTTTGAGGTGATAGGATTATTGGAGAATTTTCATTTTTCTGTATGATTGTGTTTTCCAAGTTGCAATGAGCAGGACAGTTTTCAAAGATCATGTGTATATGTATTTATATCAACATATACATATACCAATTCTCAACATGAGTGTAAAACCTGTTTGAAAGAGAAAATTTGTTTTTCTTCAACCAGAATTTTCTGAACACATCCCCAGGGGTTAGGAGCTTTTTGAGCATCCATTAGAAAATGATTGAAAGCAAAATTGAGAGACCTACGTAGCATATTAGTAAAATGAAGCACACAATGGGGTTACAGAGAAGTTGAAAAAAAAATAGTATTGCTCTTATGTTAATCAATGCTTCTTAAGAAAATCAGCTCCTGAAACTTTGGGGATGTAAAGATAAGTCTAGTTAAACCCAGGACACACAAATCGTGATTAAAATGAATGTAATATATTGGGGAGTCTTTTTTTCCCTTTGATTTGTATAGTCAGAGGGTGGAAAAAAAAAAAAAAAGAAAAGCTCTTATGGAGAATGAGTTAAAGACTCACCCCCTTCCCTCACCACACACACCACGTTCCAAGATGCCTTGGGACCAAGCACCACACAAACTTGTCTTTGGGTGTCCACACGGGCCATCAGTGATGGGCATGTTCAGAATGCTACACCTTAATGGAGCAAGGAAGCAAAAAACTACCGTTCGTGAGATGCTGACGATGGGCTGGTCACCAGGCAGAGCACTTAATCTCATTTGATTCACCAAAACCACTCAAGTTACACACAGTAACCCTACCTTACCATTTTTTAATCAATGTGACTTAAAAATTATAAAATTACTCATAGCCTCACCTCTCGAAGTGCTGCAAGGTGCTTAATAGTTGTGGAGAGTTACTTACATTTACTATGCTGTATGTACTAAGGCATTAATTAGAAGGAATAAAAGTGCTTTCTGAATTCTTGTATCTCAAGGTTTGAAAGACAAAAGGGATTTCTGCTGTATTTCTGGAATGCTCCCTTCCCAGTTTCGTGTTCTGAATGTGATGCTAGAATCTTGGGGGTGGACTTGTCTGTTCTCTCTCCTCTGTCAGTGGCACCAGGGTTCTACTGTAAGATTCAGTGTCAGAAGTGAGAAGGGCAGAAGAGGATGTATGTTGCGTTATCAGCAAGTCAGCATGCATGGGGGAAGGAATGCTGTCTGGAATGACACCACAAATAGCAAAACCTCTAAACTCTGGCCAGCTTAAAGTCTCATAACACTAATGTTATTTTTTTTTAAGGAGGGGAGAGGGAGGGGAATGGAATGAAACCAACTTTGCCTAATCAGCGATGAGAGACAAGCATGAAAGGGCAAAATGCAAAGTATGTCCTTCTGAAGGGTTCAAAGTCTTAAAAAAAGAAAATTAGTTGAACTTTTTTGTTTTTTAGTTGAACTTTTGAAGAAGGAAAATGTGACTCTGAACAAAGGGAAGATTATCATTCTCGGGGTGAAGAGAGGGGGGAAAAACAGCAATTTGATGATTGCTAAGGATGGGAAAGAAAGTGCTGCATCCATTTAACTCTTTACAAGGCAGCATTTTGAATAAGCCACTCTGAAATACTGATTAAATACACTGAGGCTGAGCCGAAATTAGCCTCCCATGTCTGAGTAGTGCATAAACTCTAATAGATCTATTTCCAAGTCACACAGAACCATCTTCTTCTCAATGGCGGCACAGAGTCTTTGAGTAAATTGTGTATTAAGTGAACTGTATTAATTAAAGAGGGAGGGAGACAGGTCTTATGCACTGATTCCTCCAGTGGAATCTGCCTAGACACACAGTGACATTTCAGTGATTTTTTTTTCCATTAGTATTCTCTGAATAAAGGCTTTTTTTCTCCCCTGTGCTAGTAAGTAAGAACTGTTTGGTATGCATATTTAAATAAGTCACAGTGAATTAGCTTTAAGAACTGGCTCTTAACATAATAGATGCATTAAAATGTAAAGCAAAATAAGTGAGTGCATAAAGACCTAAGAAAAGAGCTGAAAGTAATAGATAATGCAAGCTTCTCCACTATCTTCCAAGCCTTGGATTATGATAATGGCTTTGAGAGCAGATCCCAGTCATTTCACGTCTAGCTACTGACATAAATTAGCTCCAGTTGTGTTAAAACTTCGTTGGTGAGAAAGGCAGCAACGTGCCTTTTCCAACTCACAGGTGTACATTTGGTTCCTTAAGAAATACGCTGCCTGGAAACCAGGTTTGCTGCCAGTCATTTCAAGGAGAATGAACAACCTCATGTCTGCCAGCAATGCCATACTTGGCTCTCAAAGTCTCTGCCCCACAGTTAGTGAAGAAAAATGTCTAATGATGAGAAGACATCTGAACTCACTCGTCAGCCTATGTAATGACAGTGCTTTAAATACTGACCTCAAGAACAAGGGAGAAATAACGGCGGCTGAACTGAGCAGTGTGTATTGGCAACAATAAAATAATTTTGTTTTGTTATAAAGTCAAAGAAATCAAGAACAAAGTCCTGACGAAGAATGTAATGAGAGCCTTGCAGGTGCACAGGTAATCAGGATGTGTTGATGTAACAGGATTTGGGGCTGAAGGTAGGAGTGTCCCATTCAGGGTCCAGTAAAACCACTCACCACAAATTAACCAGGAAGGGATGCTCCAGGCCCTGCATGATCTGGAGCTCCTTGAAGACATTCCTCACTTCGTTGCGTTCCACGCACTTTTGTTTGTTCATGTATTTCATCGCATACATCTTCTTGGTATCGTTCTTCTGCACGATGCAGACCTGATGGAGCCAACCAGAGTGAGAAGGTGATTAGGGAGATGACGGATGATGGAGATAAGATAGAGCTAGACTCGTTCCTCAGCATAGTTTGGAGGCCTTATCACTTGCAAATTCCCTGATGTTCAAGTTGCCACTTAGCTTTGATTTCAGAGGAAAAAAATTCCGTTTTCTTCCCGTGCACTGGGTCAATTTCTAAATTTCTGCTTTCTCAAACAAGTATTCCTGTTTTTGCTTTTGGGGATTTTTGAGAGACAGCATTTTGGGGAAGACAGCTGCCTCAATGTCAGTGGTCTTCTAATGACAAAAGACATCCTTATTCTGCTTTCAGTGACTGAAATGGGCATAGCTCAACTGCCAAGCTGAACATTACTGTTCAGAGAAATTCTGTTGACAACCATGGGTGATACAACCAAAAAGAACTTGAAGCATTGGGGAAACTCTAAGCATGATGTCCATATTTCTGAAATGCTTTTAGAGGTTCACACAGTGTCTGATAAAGTCAACAGCAGATGATTCTAAAATGCAAGTTCCATGTGAAATGTGAAATAGTCTGTTAAAGCATGTCTCCACCAAGAAACTAACCATGAGGCTATGAATCGAGATTCTCATAAAAATTAGACTGGATATGTATATGTTTCATGGTAGGTTTTTTTAAAAAATAAAAATATAGTACAAGTGGGGAAAACACAGAAATCAGGTGGCCTCTTTGCCAAATGAAATGATGTAATTTATGCTGACAAGATAACTGATACTGAAGGTACTGGTACAATCTGAAAATGATGAAATCTTGCTCTTCTCATTAGTGTAGAGAAAGTCTGAAAGTCTAGTGAGTAAACTGATGGGACTTTGAGATAGTTCTGAGAACAGGATATGTTCACCATGTAGGTGCCTGTCACATATTTTCCGGAAACTGTGGTAATTATTTTCTAAAAATCCATGATGAAAACATCTCTGAATTATCATTTTGTGTGGTCCAGGTAATAAAATTATCTGAACACTCTTGGACTTTCTGTTCCCTGAGCTATTATACCCTGCTAGTCGTTAATCATTTGAGGTCTCACCTTCCCAAAACTGCCTTTTCCAATGGCTCGCAAAATTTCAAAGTGGTCGAAGTTGACTGTAAAACAAACAAAAAGAGCACTGTGAGTGATTCAACTGCTCTTCAGTAGCTCATAAGTAATAAAGACTGGGCTAAACTGAAGCACCTTGTTGAAAACAACATTCCAGGCTACCTTAAAATGCCCATTCGTTACTCCAATAGATATTTCTTGAACATTTATTATGTCTTAATCACACTGCTTAGTCCTGGGAGATACAGTGGTAACAGAGCAGAATTCAAATCTCTGCCTTTATGGAGCCTGCAGTCTAGTGAGGGCTTCGTAGAGAGATGCTCATGGATTCAGTAGTCGCAAAAGGAGTGTACAGTTAAACCTCTTGCTGAATGTTAAGAAGGAGACAAGTTGTGGGACTATAAGTCAGTGTAACAGGGGAGCTTCGCATAGGTGCTAAGGTCAGGAGGAGTGTCTCTGAACACAAAGGATTATGAAGAAAACTAGTCCTCTGTGCATTCAGTTCCACTAAGGATCCACACATTAAAAATCTTCTCCTTGCCTGTGTTCTCACTGCAACCATTCTTTCATATCTATGTGATTTCAGTTTTTCCAAGAAGGAAGCTATTACACCTAAGTTCCTAGAATGAGCAGATCCCCAAGGCACAGACATCTAACAGATGAGGATGAACATGAGTATAAAAGTCTACTGTATAAGCTGCATTTAAAATGAGATGATCTTACATCTGCCATTTAAATATTTCCCCTCCTAAACGTTAAGTGGAGAATAATCTACAAAAATATTGAATCATTGTGTTGTACACCTGAAAGTAATACAAGGTTGTAAATCAATAAAAAAAATAATAAAATTACTTTGCCACTCTTAGAAGTCAGAAGGAAGAGATGTTTAGTTTATAGATAGCAGGGTGTCCTGGGTCAGTGCTGATGAAATGCTTTTGGAGGAGAACAACAAAGTGTAGATTCTTCCAGACAGGTGGCAGTCTTTGGTTTCCTGCCCTGATGATCTGCAGAAAATGTCCCACTTTCTTTCTTGGCTTTTGAAATCAGTTCTGAGATGAGCAAAATTCCAAATGAGGGGTTTGAAGAATTTAATCAGAAAAGATTACAAAATACAAGAAGGTACCAGTCTTCTCTTTAAAAGACATATTTTGTCAATTTCAAGAATAATTAAATTAGCTCCTCTTGAAGGAAGGAGCACCTCTCATCTTCCAAGCTCTCTCAGGGTTGAAATGTTTTTATAATATGACTTAATCATCACTTCTGAACTTGCAAGTCACTTTATTTCGGCAAAAAACCCATTTAATCATGTGAGGCAGCATGTCTGTTACAAATAATCCTGGACTCAGCCTGAAAACAATGACAGGACTCTGACAAATAACAGATTCTCTGAGTCTCTGTTTTCTCCTCTATAAAAATGGGACTGACTCTGCTAGCTAAGAAAACACCTTTTTATCTAGGAAAATGCTGATCAAACAATCTACTTACTTAAGTTATTCACTTGACTAAATATATTATCTTCCCAGACTCCTTGAGTTGGGAGTTTTTTTGACCCACTAGATCATAAGCTTTCTGAGGGGAGAGATTACATACTGTTTTGTTCATCTGGTTTTCCTGGCAATTCAAAATCCCTGGCTTGAAGTAGTGGACAGCATCTCTGCATTTCTGAGAGAGCCGGCTACAGGGATTTACACATGACTGAGCCTCAGCAAATAAAGTAAACTGTAAAGATACAAAAGAATCTCCAAATAACCACTGCTTGTAAACATGAGCAGTGTGAGAATTTGGGTCTTGTAAGGAAGTGTTTTTCAAACTGAGTCAAGACCCATCGATAAGTTAATAAAATACATTGAGTGGTAATAAAAATCATTACAAAATTAAATGGAATAGAATGGACTAGAAAATGCCTCAACTGTAGTAACAGCAGCATTGCGCCTGAGACTTTTGTTTCGGTTTTATGTGTGTAGATAGATATGTACTATAGCACAAGATAATTTTGTTAGTGTTTATTTTACTGTGAATTGTGGTCAAAATACCTTAAACACTTTTATAAATTTTCTCTTAAGTTTCAGACTGACAGAACCAAAGCAATGATTTCCTCACACTCATTACACAAGGCTGAGTTTTGCATTATGTACTGTGCAAGTGTTACAGAAAAATGACCACGACAGTTGTAAATAGTGCTGCTGGTAATGGTGGAGCGTATGTGTCTTTTTGAAGTAATGTTTTTGTTTTTCTCAGGTATTTGCCCAGGAGTGGAATTGCTGGGCCATGTGGTGGTTCTGTTTTTGGGGTTTTGAGAAACCTCCGTATTGTTTTCCATGGTGGCTGCACCACTTTGCATTCCCACCAAGAGTGTACGGGGGTTCCCTTTTCTCCACATCCTTGCCAACATTGGTTATTTGTGTTCTTTCTGATGATGGCCATTCTGACAGGTGTGAGATGGTGTCTCATTGTGGTTTTGATTTGCATGTCCCTGATACTGGTGATGTTGAACAGCTTTTCATGTGCCTGTTGGCCATCTGCATTTCCTCGTTCGGAAAAATGTCTGTTCAGTTCTTCTGCCCATGTTTTGAATGGGTTGTTTGTTTAATTTTTAATTGAAGTACAGTTGATATAAAAAAAAAAGACCAAGATTTATTTGTGAGCCCAAGATTTTATCTTCAGCAAATCCAGTAACTCACAGTGATTTCTTCACTAGCAGCCTAGCCTAGAATGCTGTGATGACATTTTGAATCTCCCAGCATATAACAGGTAACCTAGAAGGCATGACATTCCGTTGTGATATTAATCCATTTCATGAACCATGTCCCTTTATAAGCCATTTTAAGCTTTAATGAAAATGATAAAGGATTAGATGCCAGGTTGCTGATAAATTTCTACTAGCAGAACTGCCTTTATTAATGTCAGGTAAGGTCCCAGAAAAGCGACAAGCCTCAAGTTTGAGAGATACCGCATCTTATTTGTGCCTTTATTTCTAGTCAGTCAAAGAAAGACTCTAGTCCAATGCCATGGTGGCTAAAGTCACTTCTCTGTATGATCATACAACCTGGAGAGAAAGCCAATGACAGATTGAAAGTGACTGGAAAATAAGCTCTTATTCCATCCTAATGGTCCTTTCTTAAATGTCCAACAACAGCATCACTAATCTGGAGGAAGGCTGATTGAAAAGGCAATCAAACCTCATAAATTCATACAAAATGAGAGAGAGAGCGATGAAGTCAGAACTGTGGAATATTTTGTCAACAGAAACGCGATGACATTATCAGCATATAGGATTTGCCTAAGGGGAGTATGAAATAGCTTTAAACCTTTGATCAACATATGCAGTATTAACCAGTAGATTACATATGGCCCACAAGCCAAAATGGGCCTGCCATCTGTTTTTGTACCTCCTAGGAGCTAAGACTGGCTATACATTTTTAAAGGATCGAAAAGGACAATAAAGAATGTGCAACAGAGGGGGAGGGTATAGTTCAGTGGTAGAACGTGTGCATAGCATGCACAAGATCCTGGGCTCAATCCCCAGTCCCTCCACTGAAATAAATAACTAAATAAAAAACTTAATTACCCCACCAAAATAAAAGTAAATTAAAAAATAAACAAATTTAAAAAATAAGCAACAGAGACTCTATGAAAACCTATAATATTTACCAGCTGGCCCTTTACAAAAAATTTGCCAAGCCCTGAGATTTGAGAGCACAATCTCTGGAGGCAGACTGCAGGGTTCCAAGCCCAGCTCCTACAATTCATGTCATGTAATCCTGGCAACTTTTACTTCTATGCTGTTTCTTCAGCTATAAAATAGGGATGAAAATAATATATACTACATAGGATTTGTAGGAAGATGAAATGAGTTAACATATGTAAAGTATTTAGGATATGAATTGGAACTAACTTCTTTGACCAGCACTACTGCCACAACCACTTCTTAGGGAATAGAGTAATTCAGAGCTCCCAGCAAGCACCACCGTGAGCCGCTGTCATCACACGTGGATATTAACAGGCAACACGGAGGGAAAGGGCAGCCACCAGTGTCCCTCCTACACGCCTGGGGCTTCAGAGTCTAGCGTGGTGCAAAGTTAACTTCTGCTGTGTTGTTTCCTGGTGTCTTTGTCATTGTCTCATGTTCTAAAACTTTCCTTCTGGTTCATGGAGAAGCTCTCTGGTGTCAAACATAGAAAGATCATCTGGGGACACTGTTAGACCTTGAGTTTTTGTCGGGTTTTGAAGGTAGTGGTTGAGTGTCAGGAAAGACAGAACCTGGTTCTCATGTTCACTGATGGGGCTGGCCAGGGGACGTGGCCTGTGGGAAAGCCAACGGGCAAAAACCGCTCATCCTCCCATACCTTCCTCATCTGCCTCCGAGTCTCCCTTCACACAGTCCTTCTCATCCCAGTCTTAGCCACCATCATGTCAGTATGGTACCCAAAAGGTTGCCGAGAGATGTATCAGATAAATAGGCTAAGTTGAATGAATCCTAATGTTATATCACATGGAATATTTTTTAAAACTAAATAACTTAAAAGGACTTTAGAGGTTTTCTTTTGGATGGGTGCCCATTCTCCCCTCATCAGCCACAGAAATTCTATCTGCATGAGGAGTCTGTTTATGTCTGTTTCCTTTTTATGTCTCATTGTATCCTCACAATAACCTTTAATAGCCTTTACAGATAGAAATGATTAGCTTCAGAGATTAAATAATTTGCCATGATTATAACTAGCATAATGACTATCTTACCTTGGGATTAGGTTCGTAAATCAGCAAGTAGGGCCAAACCTTGTACAGTCAAAACTATACATGTAAATCCTCTAAGAAGGCACCCCATTTGAAAACAGTCTGTCAGAAAGTTCAACACACTTTTGTTTCCCTCGTGTGAGTACCCAGTGAAACTCATAAATTGAATTTAGAGGCTGTCATATGAAAAACAAAAGCTTAAGCACTAAAGTCACCCTCAGCTCATTGGCGGGCTCAGGTTTATTAGTCATGTGGAAAGTCAGACCAGCTGCAGGGACAGTGGTTGTTGTGGCAAAGCTATGCCCAGCTCTTG